TATATATATATATATATATATATATATATATATATATATATATATATATATATATATATATATATATATTTAGGTTCATGTTTTTGTACGAATGATAGCATAATATCAAATAAAACGTTTTCATTAGTAAATTATCAAAATATTTTTAGTTGGAAGATTAAAAATCAAAAGAAGTTTCAATGAACTTTTAATAGATGTTTTCATAGAAATTTAGAGCTTAGTATTCAAAAGTAGTTCCAACGTTTTTTTTATTTTCTGATCAGAATTTCGTAAGAGTAATTAAAATGATCGAAATTAAACTAGTTCAAAGACATAATCGAATCATGTTCAGAAGTTGATTTTGTTCACTGTATGAAAACGAGTATTTTTTTTAAAAATATGAAAATATCGCAATAAATGGGCAAGTATATGTATGTTGTTGTGATAAAACACATACCACTGGTTTTATAATGATGGTAATGAATATTACGACAAATGAAAATCTATATAATCATATGCGTAATTTCCCCCAGTGCAATGTGAAAAAAATTCGCATGAAATAATTCGTGCATAGTATGATTAGTATAAATTCCTGAAAATTATTGTTCATTGTTTCAGTCATGAATCGTCTTCAATGAGTTCAATTTTGATCATATTTTGGAAGAATCAGATCAGATTAGATAGTTGATAAAAGCTTTTTGAGAAAAAACTTTGCAACTTATGAGTTTTTTAAGATCATAAATCAAAACTTTTCCCTTTAGCCATCACATTGTTTTTTCATTTTAAGACTGGAGTCTATTTTATTGCAATGTACGCTATTCATATGAATGCTTGCAAATAGTGTGTTATGGAACGTGACCTCAAGAGTTTCAGTACAGCGAAAGCATGGCGTCAGCAAAGCACTTGAAGATCAGACGAGAAGATAGTGCAGATTACGAAGCACACCGGAAAATGCGAAAGGATGATTATATATATATATATATATATATATATATATATATAAACATTTGATAACCTCAAAATAATCTCACGTTTCTTCTCCTTTTACAATATTGTGATGTGCGTATTTCACTTGACAAGAACCAATTTAACACAAATTCCAAAAGAAGAGTGAATTCGGATACATTTTACTTTACTCCCGACAATTGTGTAATCTTTTTTAACAAAACCAATAATTTTCTAAACATATAGTTTCAATAATTATCACGAAAGATATTAACTTCTTGTTAGAAATTGTCATCTACTTTTGAATGTCATATTTCAACATTATTTCTACAAAGGTATTTTTAAAGTAATCCTGAAATTTTGTGACATAATAGTGATAGCTCACTACCAGAAAAGATGAATTCCAAGTTTTCTAACCCAAAAATCGTACCTCGCGCAAAAAATATCAGACTTTTCGGTGTACATCGACAAACCATCGCTTTATCGCTTACCATGATTAAACATAATGTGTTAAAAATAAGTAAGCATAAAGTATTTACAATTATATTCTTTTCTCTATGTACTCAAACCAATATCAAAACGTTTCAAGTATTAATTGATATAATATTCATCTTTATTCATTCAAAGCTTAGAAATAATTAAATAGAGACAAAACTTTTATGCAATTCACACGTTTATTATATTCGTGTTATAAACAAATTCAACTACATCAAAGCTAAATTTGATTCTATCATACAGAATTTCATATTTTCATAATGGTAATCAGATAAAACCTGTAGGATATATATATTATTTGATAGTGTAATGTTATGCAAAAGTTTTTATTTTTAACAGAAGTAACATCATGAAAAAGATACTTTGTGAATATTCAAATATAAATTTATGTTATGAGTTTTTATTATCTTGATAAAAGGCTAAGTTTCATTTTGATGGTTTTAAACTGCAAGTGACATCGTCAGTTTACAATTTATGTATACAAAATTTCTTTTATTGAAGATAAATGTTTAACCATAATTGTTTTTGAATAAAGAGAATAGTTTTCAAACTTCACACTAGCACATCGGTAAAAGGAGAATAAGATGAGGATCAGAGAATAAAGTATATCAATATCATGTTAAGTGAACTTTTAATCATTGAAGATATAGTTTATAGGATGAAACTAGCTTCCAAAAATAAGAAATGGATGAATACCTAAAACCTAAAGGATGATGGAGAACGAATCCGGGGGTAAATCGATTGATAATATTGTCAGACGACGTTTTCAGTAATAGATTCTGCTTATCTTCAGGATTCAAATATAGAAGAATACAGCAACAAAAATCAATGTGTTTGACGGCTAAAAATTTCAACCCATTAATTTTTATATTTGTTTGGCTGTCCTAAGCTTTCTTTCTACCCACTTGTGATAAGCAATGGTTCCATTTGTGAAACATAATTCCAGCCAACAAAAAGCAGATGCAAAAATTTGTGAATTATTGAAATCTGGTAAAACACAGATTATTAACTAACTGATATAAAATTTCAACTCACTATTATCATCTTAAACTGTAATGGTGGATAATTTAAGTTCAAGTTCCGTGGAACCGTCAATTCCTACAAGATTGTACATGCACTTTAAAAACACCATCTGGCCCAAAACCTAGGTTCATAGTTCATATCAGAATGCTAATAAATAAATCACATATCGTAGTGAAACTTTAAAATGCGTTTTGTCTCATATAATGTTTTAAGAATAGTTATGGATAACATCTTTACTTTAAAACTGCTAATGCTGAATACAAAATGAATACAATGTATCAGTTATTTTTCGAAACTTGATTACGAAACCATTAGAAAATTAATAATGACTAGAGTATGGGTTAAGCCATATAGGTAGATAAAGACAGATTGTTTAATCATAAGTGTTTCTTACAGTTTTGTAAACTAGGTATGTAGTGAATGGAATTCGAACACTTGGTATGCTTTATTTGTTGCTTTACCATTCTAACTAGTATTGATGATCATAATATACGTATTAATTTAGTTCAATGCAATCTAAACATAGTGCTTTTATTCAAAAATAGGTTCCTGATAGATATATGTATTCAGTAAACCGTTAGTGATTCTGTTTAAAAAGAAATACTGACAATAACCAAAAAGTAGAAGTATACTTAATTTATTGAAGAAAATAAAACTATCTATTACGTAAGCTTTGTTTAATGGTTTAATGAAAGCTTAATAAGGAGAGTAAAGTACAATAAAAAAACAGTTTTAGTCAAATATCTTATAAATTGTAACAAAGAATAGAATATCAATGTTACATATTACTCATGCTTTTAAATGCATAACCCTTGAAAAGTACACTAACAAACGTAATGAATTTATCGAGGTATATATATATATATATATATATATATATATATATATATAGAGAGAGAGAGAGAGAGAGAGAGAGTATTTACCACATTTTACTAAAATCTCATGATAGTTTTCAATAACAAAATCATGACGCTTACTTATTCGAAGATAAATTAACTCTATATACATTGACTGTAATAATATAGTGATAATTTAGAATCCATTTTCAGGTTAAACTCAAAATCTAGACGTATATCAACACTTTTATAAAATGCAAATTACAATGACTAGTAAAGGTGTCTGTTAGTACTATCCTAACAAAATTCCTGTTACCCTTCAACAAATACTTCAACTTCCAGAAAATATACTTTGCAATATAATAGTTGTAGTATATTATTAGATTGAATATAATTTTGAACAAATCGTAATAAGTCTACTTCACAGTATGAGACCAATATTTCGGGTGGGTAATAAATACTAGTTTTCAATTATTGTTTATAATAATTTCATTATCTCGTATATTAAAAAAACACAGCATTTATTTAAACTGAAATGCTTAGCAACTCACTAAGAACAAAGTTAACAAAAAAATTGATTTTTCTAGAGCTCTTCATAATACATTAGATGTTTATGATGAGACAAGACATATCTATCAAGATGTATGAGTGGACAACTTTATTTATATAAAATGTTACATTAGGTAGTTGTAATTATGATTAGTTTTTACAGAAAAAAATTTTTGTCAAGTACGTAAACGTATTTTGCGCAATAAAACGTTATTTATTTGAAAAAGCTTTTTTATACGAAAGAATTTATTTCAGGAAAAACTTGCAAATTATTGTTAAGTTACATTTTAAAATGGCTGCCAAACAGAGTAGATAATAATCTGTCAAGTTATAACATCTTAACTAACAAAATGGGCTAGTAAGTTCGTTTTGTCTCCTCATGGAGTAGAATGTTGTTTGTATGACACGTATGGACGTTTTTTTTATTAAAAAAATATGCTACTGAAATAACACCTAATTCACCTATGGTCTACAAAGTATTTGAGGGCTACAACTATTATCCATCTACCAATAAGATAAAATAAGGTCAGTAATTTGACATATGGAAGCAATATCATCATACTGCTTCCAACTATAATAGAAAACACAACAAATATATGCCTTATTTATAAATAATGTTATTTTTTCTGTGAAGATTTATTTAAGATTTCATTTTGCTCTAAAAAGGAAAAGTACTTGAGATCGCTAAGTTTTATAAAAATATAGTTTTACTTGTACAATTTTATTGATTTGTACAATACAAATGCTTTGATTTAAAAGTATATTTATAAAAAATCAATCAATTTTTTAAAGCAACTTTAGATTATAAATTTTCTGAACTTTAACATGAAATTCATTTGAAACTTTCCACTTCATTATTGTTCATAATACAAAAAAAAGAACAAATCTATTAAAATTTAGTTTATACATCAATAAGTAATACTGTTAAAAAGATGAATTATACAGTTTGTTTCAGTTTACTTTGAGTTTACTTTTCGCTTCATAAACATAATGTTACAATGAAAAACTGCTTTTAACTTAATGTAACATAGAATAAGGTTGAAGAGAAATTAATCGGACAATGAAATAAATACTTATTTTAATAAGTATTCATGCATTAAATAAACTTGAAATTATATCTTAGAATAGAAATTTGCAAGTTCATCAATATTATGAAGATGTATATGAACTGACCTGCAAAATTGGTTAGCAATCTCCAATAATGGTTGTTTCAATCGAAATGCATAGGTTCCTGGTAAAGCATTTAAAATAACATCATTCACTCCATCGTAATTAACATCTTCATATATTGGATAAAGATTTAGTTCAGATAATTCAATATCTATGTGAATTCCAGAATTTCTTATCTGTTAATAGATTTGATAGTAGATAGAAAACATTTCATGCAGTTTTTCATATTTTTAAATTTTAATAAACCAAGAATAATGACTTTAGTGAAACTATATGAATTTATATAGTTTAAGGATTATCTTGAACTTCTTACAACCTATATGCAACTCTATAAAAGTTCTCTAAACTACTATCTCACTGTTCATAGCAATAATCAAATGTACATAAATACTCGACATATGTCACCTTCAATTATGTCTATCAGTGTATATATACATAAAACAGTACATATACTGGGATAACAGGAAAGAAAGTAAGGTTCTATACTGCTGAGCGTATTACACACAAGATGATATCATTTTCAATATTCTAGCTGTTTATCATTTACTCGACAGTGAGCATAATATTGACTTCTCAAAATCAATAAACAAAGAATTTTGAATGTATCGTACCTTGCTGAAACCATAGTTATCAAGAGAATCAGACTAATTTTACGCGTTCTAAAAGACACAGTTATCAGTCATACTTGCCTTAATGACTACAGTTTCTAGAATTTACTCAGTAATGTTAGTCATATTTTCTCTTATTATTATTATTTTATATTTTCTTAATTGAACACACGTAATAGTGATGGTAGTTGGAAACTTATGAAACATGAAAGTGATGTTTCACTGAATTTATTTAAGATACAGTCCATAAAAAGTTACTTAATTTGTTCAGTTAGTTAAGATTTTCTTTTTATTGACCCATAATTTTTATGTTATGATGAAATAAGGGTAAGTGAAGTTTTTCTGAATTATTTAAATGCATTAATAATTTAGAGAATATGATTTAGTGTAAAATTAACCATAAAATCTTACTTTACAGATGGCGTTTAAAGTAAACACAATTAGGTAATTTATAGAGAAAATTATGAATTCGCGTCAGCCATTAGTAACACAATACTTTATATTTCCTAACTGAAGTCAATGTTTAATACGTCGTTTGATTAGCCCTTCATAATATATCATTTGTTTACTGAACCGCAATCATTAGAGTAACGTAATTAATCATTTGTTTTAATGAACCAAAGAGTAGCTTTTCCATCTTAGTCTCAGGTTGAAAAGTCTAAATTTAATGGGTTATACAGGTTTTTTTCAAATTATTATCAATAACTTACAGCGTCAGTAATGTCCAAACATAAATATGAAGTGGAGAAGCTGAAACATTCAAGTCTAGGCACTTGATAAATACGCCATAATCTCCTGACATCACACATTATTTCAGAATTTCAAAATAACTTGTAATTCTAATCAAAGCAAACAGAATCATCTTATTCACATAACGACTGAATTATGTAACGAGAACCCTTTTCACATATTGAACATAACTATGAAAATTTTTAAAACAATCATAGGTAAAGTAACTCCTCAAGTAAATTATTTAATAAAAAGCAGCACATATTCATTAAACGTTATATACTTACTGAATGAAATTTTAAAACGGAAGCAGTTTCATTTATTAAACTTGTGTGGAAAATATCACTGACTGTAAGTAGATTTTCAAAAATCACATTTTTCGACACTAACAGCTTCACTGCTTCTTGATCTAAAAAAACCCAGGAAAATGACATCAGATATAAGGCAAATAATTTAGAATTACCAATCAAACAATAATTTTACAACACATTACTCGTTAATTAAGTTTGATTATTATAATATGCAAATATGATTTGCTTAATAAATCAACTAAATCGTCTGCCTCCAAATACCCTAGTACGTCCGCGAGTGAGGAGGATCGACTCTCCCTCTCGAAGTGCTCCCACATGACCACGCGCATACAGCCGCTGCCAGGGAAGTCCTACTCACTGCCTTTTCGTGACGAGGTTGCTGTTTACGAAAATGAGACGACGAAGAGCTAATGTCTGGCGCTTTAACCGGGTCAGTGGACATGGAGAGTTCACCTAAATGAGTTGAAAAACCTCATTCCAAACCAATGGTGCACATGGGCTCTAGTATCTTGAAGGAACAAATGGCATATGAACCAATAGTTGGTCACCGGCTACCATGGGAGTGCATCTCCTTACGATGCTCCACTGCCTTGTGGATCAGACCTTTAGGTCAAAGGCTCCGGGTGTGGCCCTCTAAGAAAACCCTCACACAAATCAAATGAGATTTGTGTGGCACATATGTATTTGGTGCCTCCTTGTACCAAAATCTATGTGTTCAAATAATAATAATCATATAAGAATTTATAATAATTTACTATGCACAGATTTCGAGTACTTTGTTTTATCATGCAATCGATAATCTTATAAAATCTGTGCTCCTTGAACTTCACTGTACCTTGCAATGTCCTGAACTTAATCACTTTCATAGATTCATGTGTGAAATCAACTAGACCTATACGCTAGTTATTTAATGGAGTTATTCTAAGTAGATAATATGACTAAATTATTAAGTTGTTCATACTCAGTGCAGCTGAAATTACTTGAATTACTGTATTTTATATAATGTAAAATTAACAAAATGTTTAAAAGAAACTGTTCATTTATTTATTTCATAAGATAACTAAGCTTCTTTCTTACACAAATGTCGTTTTATTGATTTTAAAACATTTTATTAATCTTTGTACATTCAGTAGTTAATCTACGCTTAAGTAACTATTTTTAATAGATCACTGACGAGGTTAATAGTTTTATAACAATATTGTTATCGATAAATGCCAAGTTTGTCTGAGCACTGGTCACAAAAATCTTTACTTTAAAAACTACCAAATGATATACATTAAATATTAATATGTGTTAAAGTGTCAATTACTTCTGAAATGTTCGAAATACACTGTATACAAGCTGAACTACAATATAATGCGGACTGTAATTTAGGCTATTTGAATACTAGTTGAGAAATGAATTGTTTATTATCTGTAACTCTAGTTGATGAAAACATTTGAGGTGTCGGATATGTACTATTTTATTCGACCAGATATCCTAAAATAAACACTCGACTATTATTTGCATTTACCAAGTATGTTCATAAAAAAAACGTTTTTCAATATTTTAAAAACATTTAAACGAATTTGTGTTAGGAACATGAACTAAACATTCTGGTTTGCATACACAGTTTTGGAAGTGAGTTTTTAGCGTGGTTTTGAATTGTAGAACAGTATAATATCATTAGAGCCGCATTTCTGCAATTGAAAAACATGTGGTACTCAAAACAACTGTCAACCAATATCAAAATCAGAATCTTCAATACTAACGTCAAGGCAGTTCTACTGTACGGAGCTGAAACATGGAGAAATACTACAACCTACATCAAGAAGGTGCAAGTATTTATGAACAGTTGTCTACGCAAGATGCTCAACATCCATTGACCGGATAACATCAGCAACAGCCTTCTGCGGAAGAGAACAAACCAGCTTCCAGCTGAAGAGGAAGTTAGGAAAAAACGATGGAAAAGGACAAGACATGCATTACGGAAATCATCAAACTAACTTGGAATCCTGAAGGAAAAAAGAAAAGAGGAAGGCCAAAGAACACATTACGTCAGGAAACAAAAGCAGACATGAAAGGGATGAATAACAACTGGAAAGAGATGGAAAGGATTGCCCAAGACAGAGTTGGATGGAGAATGCTTCTGAGCGGTTTATGCTTCTCCACGAGGAGTAGCTGGCGTAAGTAAGTAGGTAAGTAAGCATAATATCAATTCATCAGACCAACTGAAAACATGAAAGGAAATATAAAGAAAAGATTTTTTTCAATAGCTTACTTTTTAGCTTAATTTGATACTGTTTGGTGTTCCCGGTAGTATTCATATTAATAAATATATCTGAAAGTAAATAGAACTTGAATATTCATATGAAACAATAAAATTGTGAGTTTATTAGTTCTTACATGAAATAAAGAATTATTTTTGTCTTATAAAATATTCACATCACTGGTTTATAATATAAACTATCATGCTGTTGTTTACGTGTATCTTCCCATTGTTATTTAGGACTGCAATTGATCACTTTCTTGTTGGCATACGTTCATCATGTGCAGACTGCTTCGATATTGCCTTAGGTCACAAGCCTTATCAGTAAAGATGGATAATGGGTAGCAGTGGGATCCAGACGAGCCTTTCGTTCTCTTTGGGATTCAGCTGGATGTACCTGCATCTGAGAGTTGATATTCACTCTGGGACTCAAACCCAGTATCGTTCGCTTCAAACTATCATGGTTTGATATCATCTTAAGAACTGAGGTCTCATTATATCTAAAAATCAATAATTTTCTTCTACTCAAATTATATAGTTTCAATTCAGTACAGAATACTTTAGAAAATTTTGTGTGAAATTTTTAACAACTGGCTGTTTTCCTAAAACTTTATTAATCAAAACATAATGCTATACTGAACAACATGACTACAATTCTTCAGTCAAATCATCATTGTTTATCAAAACGTTTGATGTTGTCTCCGTTTATCTTATTTATTAAAACTCATAGTACAGACTTAAGGTCTCATTCACATTTGAAAGGTGATAGACACTTGTTAATTCATTGATTTTACTCCATATACCCATACAATTATCACATTTGTCTGTACTGAAAGCAGTGAAATGTTGTAATAAAGACACGATCAAGTGAAAACAAGTCGAGTAACATCAATAAAATAAAGTTACGATCATTAACAGAGATAATTCATATGACAATGATAAAGAAAAAGAGGATTTTAGTGATAAAATACTTTGTCAGTACATAATATATTAAGCAAAAAATCGAAATGTGTATTTTGTACAATATTTTAGTCTGAGGAAAGTTTTGACCTAGTTTAACTACGAAGACAGTATGATATTTCGTAAGACTATAATAATTTGTTGAATCTTATAAATTTTCACCTGGTATTTTTAAAATGAAATATGCAAGAGTTATGTGTTATCCAATATATTCTTAATTTAATAGTTGAGTTCATGAATCAGTTGAAGTTAGACCACCATAGAAAACCTGGAAGCATTGAACGGCCGTTTCGTCCTAGTATGGGACTCCTCAACAGTGCGCATCAACGATCCCGCACACGAGGATCGAACCCAGGACCTTCGGTCTCGCGCGCCAACGTTTAACCTCTAGACTACTGAGCCAGCACTCAACGGTGTTAATGTTTAACTTCAACCAATCCACGAAATTGCGCCACCGTTTATTTATAAATTCCTCGTATTTTAATGTGTTCTTGCTTCACGAACATATAAGAAACATTTACACATGGCTCTCTTTCCAGACAGAGAATATTTTATAAAACTTTTTTGTTATATCCCCAAGAGAATAATGAATGGTAGCTTTGGGGACCCCTTTATGGACCAATGCTATGCGTTTATTTTTATCGTATAAATGATGAATAACTAAACTATCCATATTCATGTTCCTCTTATCATAAGCTTTATTTTGACTTATGAATCGTTATTATACGATTTACCATTCTCGAGTTAGACCCTGTTTATCGATTACTACCTCCCACATTCACAACCACATTTGGCAAAATCTTGTACAAATGTTGTTTTCTATTTTGTAGTACGATGTGGTCTGTCTGGTTGGTATATAAACCGAGTATGTTTGAAATAAATGATTTATAATACAGAGGCTTAGATTGGTGTTCTGGACTTAATTGACTGGGCTAGGCAGGAAGCAGGACCGATAAGTACTCTAGACTGCTCGCACTGTTCTCTAATTGGCGGTATCATCACGTTATACATTATCAGGGTACACAGGACGCAAGTTATAACACTTTTTTTGAAAATATATGTGATTCTGAGACTTATTAATAAATCTATATTGATCAATAATTAATCAATTTTATTATCAATAAATGAATAAATTTTTAGTCGTTTGTAACGTAAAGATTGAAAAAGGATGAACAAATAACATGTACTTTTGCCATGAATTGATCTAATCATTAAAATAAATATCTGTACGTCTCTGTCGCCTATGGAATAATGAAAGTGATGTTTAACATTGAGTTAAGCAAAATGCAAAAAGAAAAAAGGAACATTTTAAAGATGAGGAAAGTTACAGAACTTTCATGTATTGCATTTCTTCGATAATATGAAACAAAGAAGATACTACATATCCTGTTTTCATCTAACTATTCACCGTTTATAGTTAACAATGAAAATTGTTTTTGATGATATACAAGTATAAAATATTTTTCATGCAAATATACTAATATACTTTCTCCAAATAACAAATACTGTCATTATATTTACTCTATTAAAGTGTATAGTAAATTTCATATAGAACTTGGCAAATATTTATATTTATTTATTCTAAACAAGACTATAGTAAATTCATTCAATTAAATAATTAATAAACGAACTACCATTTTACTAAAATTGTCATATCTACCGCCAAGAATCTATAAATGCAAAAACGGTTACATTGATTGGTATTATTATTATTTTTCTTTTATACGGTAATGACTTTTTGATACTGAAACTTAAAAGATATATAACTGGAATAAATAAATAAGGTGAACAATGATTCAGATATAGATTTATGTTTTGATTTTAATTTCAAATACAATTGATTGATCACTGGGTGATCAATGTTATGACTTTCTTAGTGCAGGTTGAATCCTATAGACCAAGTTGCAAAGTGGCCACTAGTCTAGGTGATTCGACATCGCGTACACTATGTTGAAGTTGAGTGACATGGCATCGAATCCATCAGGGAGCATCAATTCCCTCAAAATTACAAGTACATCTTACTGATATGTGCCAAGTAGCACGAAACCTAGGTCCAGGGTTTCCTGAACACTACCTCCAATCACCATTTTCACACAATTGTATCTTACTTTTATTAAATCCTTCGAATTATTTTAAGTGCTTTTTGGATTATATTTGTTAATTAAGCTGTCATGCAATAGTCAGTCGTTCATACATCTATTGTCTTTTGAGTTTATTTTACGTTTTTACCAATAAGTACTGAAAAATGATGAGATATTCTGTTGTCTAACGGCAGTCGAAATTATTTGTATTGTTTGTTATTGGACTGTAAGTTGAAGAACTATCTACAGAAATGAAAAGATTATATCAAAACAAAATAACTTTTGTCTGTTAAGTATTCTTCATAAATGTTTCAATGACTGACTGAAAAGATTGAAGGTAAGATGTTAAATGTAAGCATTAATCAGATGCTTTAATCTTTAGATACAATCGTTTGTGTTCCTGAAAGAGTTCAGCATCTATAATTCAACTGGAAAGTCTAGTACAGTTTATTAAACAATAAATATGTTTTACTGTTGAACCAAAGATCATAATAAATGTCAGTAAATGTACATCCACTGACTAGCATGGACAAATAAAAAGAATTATACTAACTATAGATACGTTTTAGAAATATAAGAAAACCATATTTAAACTAAACAGTATTCAACGAGCAAGTCCATTTCTTTTGTAATTTCAACTTGTCAAAAGATATTTGTTCACTGACGAAGCCAATGTTAATTCAGAATGTCAAAAATGTACTTTTTTAATCAATGGAGTATGTAAAACGTTAAAAAATCCGTTGGTACCTCCTCATTAGTTTAATTCAAACGCACAAGCACAATATTTTGGATGTGTGACAATATAGTTACTGCTAGTTTAGTGGGCATATTTACCTCGATTTTGATCTACATCGACTCAATAAACAAAATAATGCTTCAAAATATTATATCTGGTCGAATATTTCGTTATTCTTATTTAATATGATAAATGCGAATAACTACTGATATCAGGAACTTATATCATACAAATTCCTGTAAGAAAAGATAACGTTTTAATATATTTATGTACCTCAAATACTTTAATTTCCTCCAATTCACTAAAAATCTTGATCTAGTGTTAATCAGTAAAAATTAGATTTTTAGTTTTTTTTCCTAATTACAAACGAGTTATTTCATTTGATCAATTTACTATGAAGTTCCTTACACAAGGAATAATTCATATGTAACATGTAGGATTACTAAGTAACTCATGATAAATCAAGCTATACTTTTCTGTCAGATAACTATCTTAAACTGTGATTATCAAATAACTGGTCATTTATAGAAACGGAATTAAAATTAATATGTACAGAACTTTATGGGGTATCTTTTTTACTAAGCTTAATTACAGGCTGTTATATTACATAACCAATACTATTGGAGAATTAAAGTTAATCAATATCATTGATCTAGCCATAGTGATTTGAAAAGTTTTAGTAAATTAGTAGATTCGGAAATATTGACGTCATTATGCATTTCTTCTTTGAAGTAATAAAAACCTAACTCTCATCTTGTTTCACTATACTTTATTTAATTTTTAATACATATCAGCCTATCGTGTTTGTTCTCTAGTGATGTATTTTGGAAGGATAACTGCAATCTATATAAAGTGATATAATGAACCAGATATGAAACTGATAAAAAGATAATACACAATACAGTATTCAGTGGAAAAAAATAGTTGCATATAAAAAAGGCCTAACTTTTACAAAAGTTAAAAAGGGACGAGAAATAACGAGTAAGTTTGATGAAACCAAGTGATTTATAAATTCAAGAAATATAGATTTAAACCGATTCAGTGAGTGGTATCCACGTTTTGTTATAAACATACTAAAACATACTGAATGGAGTGTTTTGATGATCTTTAGTAATTAGTAATAAAAGGGAAATGTGAAGAATCCCTCATAGAATGATTCATAAATGCATTTAGGTGAACAGACAGACGAATCCATTCCACATTGACCATATTCTAATTATCCACAAGTCAAACGTTTGAGCCTAGAAATAATAAGTTAGATCTATATTTTTGTCATAAGTATATAAACTGAAATT